CCAGCTTCACAAGACAACAGACTCCATCAGAGCGCACCTGGAGCTTCCCTTTGCAGCTCCCTCACTCCCTTGCTGTCTGTCAGCCTTTGTCAAACACAAGTGCTGGCAGCTGCCTGCATGCTGGAGCAAGCTCTAAATAAAAAGCCTCTGTTTGCTATCCTGTGGGTGGTCTTGGGCTCTTTCCCCAGGACTGGGGCATCACTTTCCGTTATGTGGAAATTGTTCCTTACCTTTGAACACTCAGAGAGGTGAGTTCCACGTGGAGGGTGCCCTTGACCAAGTCAGTGCGGGTGTAGAGTAGCTACATTTTCCTGGAAGCACACAAGTTGAGGCTTTTCAGTCCGTTGCTTTTTGGTCAGGGCAGACAAATGTTCAAGACTGAGGCAGAACACGAGGATGCCAGCGGGAACCTGAGACATACCTCCCACCACCTTCCCCATACCTATTTTTTTTTTTTTTTGATTTGGCATCTCACTCTGTTGCCTGGGCTGGAGTGCCTTGGCACCATCACAGCCCACTGCAGCCTTGACCACCTGGACTCAGGCGATCCTCCTTCTTCTGTCTCTCCAGCAGCCAGGACTATAGATGTGTGCCACCATGCCCGGCTAACTTTTTGACTTTGATAGAGACAAGGTCTTGCTATGTTGCTCAGGCTGATCTCAAACTCCTGGACTCAAGTGATCTCCCTCCTCGGCCTCCCAAAGTCCTGGGATCACAGGTGTGCACTGCCATGCCGGGTCCACCTTCCCCACCCCCAGACCCAGACACTCCCCTTCACTCTGATTCTCCAGTCCAATCACACCACCATCCCCCTCTCCACACCCACCCTTATCCTAGTCCCCCACGTCTTCCTCGTGTCAAAACCACCCCACCCTGTGCCCACATGTATCCCCATTGCTAATACCCATCTCTTCCCCGTCAATGAGCCCAGCCACACCTGCCACCTCCCCCCATCCCATGCCGTTTCTTCCCACCTGTAGCCATCAGCACCAGCGCCACCATCAGCTTCTTCATGTTGGCTCCTGGGGGAGGCCACACGCCCATTAGTCAGTGCCTCAGATTCTACCCCCACCCCTCCCTCTGCTCCTCTTCCTCCTCCTCCTCCTCCTCCTCCTTGCCTTCCTCCCTGCCCCTCCTGCTCTCCTGCCTTGACCTCTGCCCTTCCCATCCGGCCTCTTGATTTCTCTCTCCCCAACCCACATTCTCCATCGGAGGGTCTCGCAAAGGCAGGTGCTAGAGAGTTTCAGAGCTGTGGGTTGCAGTGAGATCCGGATTGAATCTTCCCGCCCTTAGACTCTCGGTAGGGGGTGGGGAAACAGGAGAGTGTGAGACTTGGGGTGCAGCCTTCATCCTCTCTGTGAAAGCCTCCCCTGGACCACCCACACCTGCAGCCTCTGCCATGCCTGTGATCTTACCTGCCTCCAGGCCTCCGGGGGCTCTTGGGTTGGGGAAGAGACTGGTCCAAGACAGGGAAGCAGAGAGAGTCAGAAGTGCAGGTGGCCTGGGGAGAGGAAGCTTCCAGAAGCAGCCACAGAGCCCAGAGCACAGGACTCAGGCTGCGGGGCCCGGGCTGCAGGGACTGCCAGGCAGACACCCCAGGCTTCCTAGTCTCCCTGGATGAGGCTGCTTCTGTCCCCAGATGCCTCTGGAACTTCCTTTTAACCCCTGTCTCCCCAAGTCCCCACCCTTTTCCTTCTCACCCAGGTCTCCCACACACATTCTTTCTGCCCCCACGGCTCTGCTCCTGGTGACCCCTGACTAGGTCTCAAGGGAGGAGAGAACTGGTCCCTGAGTGCACTGGGGGCGTGATGTTCTGGGTCTGAGGGAGGAGGGGCTGGGGCCTGGACTCCTGGGTCTGAGGGAGGAGGGGCTGGGGCCTGTACTCTTGGGTCTGAGGGAGGAGGGGCTGGGGCCTGGACTCTTGGGTCTGAGGGAGGAAAGGCTGAGAGTCTGGACCCCTAAGTCAGAGGGAGGAGGGGCTGGGACCTAGGCCCCTGGGTCTGAGGGAGGAGGAGCTGGGGTCTGATCTACTCTGAGGGAGGAGGGGCTGGGGCCTGGTTCTGAGAGAGAGGAAGTTCTACTCTCAGGCCTTAGTCTTCTAGGCCTCTGAGAATGAGCGTGTTGAGGACTGAGGTGCACACTGTGGGTCTACCAAAAGGTGCCCAGAGCCCCCCAGCCCCCACTTGTCTGTGCACTTAGGACCTGCAGGCCCTCATGGCTGCCCCAGAGCCCTCGGGCGCTGGGAGCCAACCCGCCCAGGTTCAGTGGGGTTGGGGTGACTCACGCACCTGCCCGTGGGTCCCTCTGTGTATGTGACGACCTCCGTGTCCCTGCGAGATAGTGAGTGAGCCAGCCAGGGAGAGAGCGTGTGTCACCAAGCCAGCCCCTCCCCTGCCCCGGGCTGGGGAGCAGCAGACCCAGGCTGTGGGGCAAAGGCTTCCAACAATCGAACAATCGGGCTTTGTCCGCCCCAGCACCCCAGTGCCATGTCCCGGCAGCCCCACTTCCCAGCCTCTCCTCCAGGCAGGCGGCTGCCTCAACAGCCTCCTTTTGTCCAGGTCTGGCGGTCTCCCGTACGACTGTCGTCCAGCCCTGCCTGGGTGTTCCAGAATCTCGGACCCTCCTGGTCCTTCTGCAAGTCTACCCACCTCTGAGGTGTCTCCTTGGCCATGGGGGTGGGGATGAGGGGGTTCACTGCCCTCTGTGTGCACTCAGTGTCCCTGCCCTTGCCCTGTCTCCAGCTTGCTCTCTTTGTCTCTGCATCTCTCTCTCTCTCTGTTCATCTCAGTCTGTGTCTCTCCGCCCTTTGCCTCTTCATTCTTTCTCTCTTTTTATTTCTTTCCCTCTTTCTTTCTCTTTCTCTCTCCCTCCCTCCCTCTCTCTCTTCCTTCTTGCTTCTCTCTCTGTCTCTCCCTCTCCCTCTCCTACACTGGGCACCAGGCATTCTCACAATCTCTCTCTCTCTCTCTTCCTTCCTCCCTCCCTCTCTTCTTTCTGCCTTGATTCTCTGACTCCCTCTGCTCATCTTCTCCAGATACCCCCTAGATTTCCTGGGGAAGTATGTATGTGCACAGAGGGGAGTCCGGTCCCCAGGGAGCCTGGGGGATGCTGGAGCGAGGGGAAAGCCAGCAGGTGCAGGAGGGCTGTGGACCGCTTGATGAGATCTACTGCCGCACAGGGAGAGGCGTGGAGAGTCGCGGGAATCCAGGAGCCCTTGGGAGCCACCCAGGGCTATGGGGAGATGTGGGGGTGCCAGGAAGCCACAGAGGGCTCCGGGAAGACTTGGGAGGTGCCTTTGAACCTGGAAAGGCGGAGGTCAAGGGGAGGGGCCGTCAGAACGCCTGGCACCCAGGGTGGGAAGCCATAGAGGTGGTTGGTATGGGCTGGAGGGTGAGGGTGTGTGTGGCCCAGGGAGGGACGTGAGGAGGGGTGTGAAGACGCAGAGCCCGGAGGATGCAGGGCGGAAAAAGGAAGAGGAGGTTTGGGGGAAGTTGGGTTACAAGGACAGTGACTAAAGTCCCTCTAAGACTTGTTTGGGCTTGGCCTTGCAGGGAAACTTTTATTTGTGTTTGTTTGTTTGTCTGTTTTAGGGATAGGGTCTGGCTGCATTGTCCAGACTGGAGTGCAGTGGCCCAATCATAGCTCACTGCAGCCTCCAACTCTTGAGCTCAAGCAATCCTCCTGCTTCAGCCTCTCGAGTAGCTGAGACTAGAGGCATAAGCCACTACATCTGGCCAAACTTTTTTTTTTTTTTTTGGCTTTTTCTTGCCTTAAACCTAATTGTCACCTGAGACTGCTCATCACTCCCAGGATGAAGATCAACTGGCCTTCAGTATCCTTGCTGTGGCCGTCCCCTCCCTGCCCTCACCAGGCCCTTCACACCTGGTCCCCACTGACCCCAGCATCTTCTTCTGAGGACTCACCATCCTCCCAGACGCACAGTCTGTTGACCCCCAGGTCTTGTCCTTCTGCCTCCTCTGTCTGTGGGGTCTCTTCCTCTCATTCCCCATGTCTCTGCACCCCCCCCCACTCACAGGTTCTCCCTCTGCCTCCCTCTTTTAACCCCAGAGACCCCAGAGGGGTCTTCTTTCAACCCTGGACAGGGTCTCCTTCCCTCTCAGGACAAAAAGTCCCAGGCCCTTAGCCTGGCCTTCGAGGAGATTTGGCATCTAGGGCAGCACTGACCAACCACTCAATGATGTCCAGTACACAAGTGCGTTCAAATGTTTTAGTCACCGCAATTATGTTTGAGTCAAAGTCTCACTGCCTGTTGTTGTTGCTGTTTTTCAATTCAAAGGGTATACATGTAGGTTGGTTTCATAGGTTATTGCATGATGTTGAGGTTTGGGTTTAAATTTATTTTTTAATTGACAAGTAAAACTTGTGACCTGGTGCAGTGGCTCACGCCTGTAATCCCAGCACTTTGGGAGGCTGAGGCAGGAGGTTTGCCTGGGGCTGGGAGCTCGAGACTAGCCTGGGTAACATAGCAAGACCTCGTCTCTACAAAAAAATAGAAAAATTAGACAGGTGTGATGGTGTGCACCTGTAGTCCCAGCTACTCAGGAGGCTGAGGCAGGAAGATCTCCTGAGCCCAGGAGATTGAGGCTGCAGTGGGCATGATCGTGCCACTGCACTCCAGCCTGGGCAACAGAGTGACACCTTGACTTAAAAAAAAAAGTAAATATTTTCTGGTGTACACGACGATTTTTTATTTATATATGAACATGTTGTGAAATGGCTACACCAAGCTATTTAACATGTGCAGTACCTCACATGCTTATTTTGGGGGGTAAGGACACTTCAAATCTTTTCATTAAAGAAAAATTAGCCGGGCGTGGTGGCTCATGCCTGTAACTCCAGCACTTTGGGAGGTGGAGGCGAGAGGATTGCCTGAGTTCAGAGGTTCGACACCAGCCTGGGCAACTTAGCGAGACCTCGTCTCTACAATAAATCAAAAAATTAGCTGGGCATGGTGGCATGCATCTGTAGATCCAGCTGCTTAGAAGGCTGAGGAGGAGAATCTCCTGAGCTCAGCAGATCAAAGCTACAGTGGCCATGAGTGTGTCACTGTACTACAGCCTGGGTGACAGAGTGAGACTCATAACTCAAATATGTATATATATATGACTGGGCACAGTGGCACAGCCTGTAATCCCAGCACTTTGGGAGGTCAAGGCTAGAAGAGACCAGCCTGGCAACTTGGCAAGACCTCATCTCTACAATAAATCACAAAAACTAGCCAGGTATGGTGGCAGGCATCTGTAGTTCCAGCTACTTGGAAGGTTGAGGAGGAAGAATCACTTGAGCCCAGCAGATCAAGGCTGCAGTGGCTGTGAGCATGCCACTGCACTCCAGCCTGGTCGATGGTGAGACTCTGACAAAAAAACACACAAAAACCCCCAGACAAACAACAAAACCACCAGTTTTAAGCCTAAAAAACAATAACATCCAAATTTTAAAAAATCTTAAAAAATGTAAAAAAAATAAAAAGAAACAGGAGGGGTTAATTTTAATATTTTATTTAACTTAATATATCCAGAATGTTAGCATATACAATCAAAATAAGAAAATTAGTAATGGCACCATGCCTTCTTATTTTCTGGTATTGAGTGCTTGAAATCCAGTGTGTCATTTACAATCACCGTGCATCTCAACTGGAACTCATGCCAAGCCATCAAGAGCCATGGGCGGCAAGACAATTAGATTTCATTCCATACTGCAGGGCCCAGCTCTGCCTACCTATCTGGATGTGTTCCAGCATTCAAGATCACATGTTTCTCTGAACCGTGTTATGTCCTCTGGCCGCTGAGCCTTCATTCATGCTATTCCTTCTTCTTAGAATGCTTTTCCCACCTTTTCCTGTCAAAAACAACTTGTCCTTCAAGTCCTTGCTTGAACATCACCTCCTCCAGGAAGTCTTCCCTGAACACCACCCAACCTCCACCTGCTGTGGTTGAACGAGTCACTCTTTCATGTAGGTTCTCACAGCAAGTGCCTCCCTCAGTTCACCCCGGACTGGGGCCAACTGGATTGATGTCTGTCCCTCCCACTGGACTGTGAGCTCCTTGAGGGCAGGCGCCTGGACTGACTCACCCCTGCGTCCCAAGTACCCACACAGAACCTGGTCCAGAGGTAGCCTTGGCAAATGTTGACCAAGTGACTAAATGACTTCATTACACCCACTCCCGTTTTACAGATAAGAAAATCAAGGCCCAGACTGGGGAAGTTAATTGCTCGATGTCAAACACCCGGGAAATGGTGGAGCCTGAATTGGAACTCAGCTTTCAGCATGGCGGTGGATGCGGCCCGCGTCTTGGCAACCCCTCTGGGTCTACCTTATGACAGTACAGGGTGGGTGGACTTGAGAAATTGTTGAGAGCTGTGTGGGGAATGGAGGGAGGTGGCTGGCTGTGGGTGTGGAGGAATTTCCAAGTGAGAGAATGGAGTCTCCAACTCTGCCTGTTCTCTCTCTGGTGACCTTTGTGGTTTTCTATCCTTGAATGCCATGGATTTTTATTTACTGGATATTAATTCTCCAAATTGACTTGCTTTGCAAAAGCCTTCAACAAATAAATTGTCTTATAAGGAAACTTCATGAGTGTAAGCAGGAAAAAGTGCCAGAAGTCATATACACTAAAAATCAACACCTGTGGAAGGCTTATGCTGTGTCAGACAGTATTAGAGTACTTTCTGCTTATTAACTCTTTTTTTGAGTCAGTGTCTTATGCTGTTGCCCAGGGTGGAGTGCTGTGGCACGATTGTGGTTCACGGCAGCCTCGACTTCCTGGGCTCAGCTGATCCTTCGGCCTCAGCCTCCTGAGTAGCTGGGACTACAGGTGCATGCCATCAACCCCTTTCTATGTTATCCAGCTTGGTCTCAAACTCCTGGCCTGAAACCATCCTCCCACCGTGGCCTCCCAAAGTGCTGGGTTTACAAATGTAAGCCTCTGCTCCCGGCCTGCAGGTTAACTTCTTGAATCTTCATACTAATGCTATGAAGTAGGTGTTCTTCCTCCCATTCCAAATGAAGAGACAGGGATGAGGAAGTGAGGAGTTCAAAGGCAAACAGCTTGTAGGGACCAGACTGAGATTTGAATTCAAGAAGCCAGCTTCCAGGGCTAGTGTCTTAACTATTACAGTATGCCATCTGTCCAAAGAAAAATGAAATTACTTTTAAAAAATTCCATAAGTCCCATCTCAGTCACTGCAAACCAGCCCATCTATATCTTGCATATATGAGGAACAGAGGGCAGAGCCAGGGACCTCCAGCCTGGCTTAGGGCAAATGCAATGTTCTGTTACCTTAAAAAATGTTAGATTAAATACTGATTCTGGATGGCTTGCTGGAGAGAGAAGAAAAGTTGATGGAGTTTCATGGGGATGGCTGGCTGAAAACCTTTGACATTCTTGAAACTTGACATAGGTCCAGAGGCAGATGGGGCTGGGAGCTAGGACTTCCAGGTCTAAGGGAGGAGGGGCTGGGGTCTGGACTCCTGGGTCTGAGGGAGGAGGGTCTGGTGGCCTGGGCTCCTAAACTTTAGGGAGGAGGGGCTAGGGCCTGGACTCTTGGGTCTAATGGAGGAGGGGCTGGGGGTCTGGACTCCTGTCTGAGGGAGGAGGATCTGGACTCTTGCGTCTGAGGGAGGAGGGGCTGGGCTCATGGACTCCTGGGTCTGAGGGAGGAGGACCTGGACTCCTGAGTCTGAGGGAGGAGGGGCTGGGGCCTGAACTCCCAAGTCTTATGCATTTGCCTCTTTGTGCAGAGACTCAGACTCAATGGCTGCAGGATTTCTGTAGTATGACAGGATTGGGGGCAAGTGGGTTAGGGAACACTCAGAAGGAGATGAGATAAGAAGATCTGGAAAGTGCTGGGGAAGGAATTCTTGGAGAGAAACTGGAAAAACAGGTAGGAGCGGTGAGTTCTGGGTTGCAGTGGATCCTTCTGTCACCAGAGTCTGAGGTGTGACTACCCAGAGGAGCTTTGATCTGGTGGCCATGGGTGTGGTCAGGCCCTGAGTCACAGAGGACACCTCCCTCCTCCCTTTCTGAGGCCCTTTCCCTGCCTTCTTGGGCTGCAGGAGCCCACCTACCTAGATTCCCAGTCACCACCTTCCTCCAGCCCCGGGAATGCTGATTGCTCACTTTTCGGCAGGCCCCTGCAAGCCCATCTATCTGCCGCCGCATCCCTCTCCTTCCCTCTGTGTTCACCTGTGACATGTTCAGAAACACTTTTCTACCCCTTCCCACTCTGATGAAGTGCTCACACTCTCTCCCCCTCCTTTCCTCCCTCTCTTCCTCCTTTTTTTTTTGTGAGTTGGAGTCTCACTCAGTTGCCCAGACTGGAGTGCAGTGGCCACTCCCAGCCACTGCAGCCTCGCCTGCTGGGCTCCGGCGATCCTTCCGCCTCAGCCTTCCGAGTAGCCGGAAT